CCCTAAACCCTAAACCGCCTAACCTTTGGCTCAGGTGTCTACCTGGGCATGCCGTGCAGATCCGAGATGCAGATGCTGGAGCACGAGAACGACTACTACCAGGTGCTACCCCTGCACTCCCAACTGCCCCGGTTTAGGGTTTAGGGTTTNNTTAGGGTGTTGGGTTTAGGGCTTTTGTCCTGACCTACAGGACTGCGAACCATCCATGGCAACTCGCGAGAGTGTCAGAGAGCAATAACCGCCGAGCCCTAAATCTGCCCCGGAGGCCCAGTACATGTGGTCGAAGGAGATGAAGTACCACAAGGCAGGGTTCAGGGAGAAGGGATGCAGGGGCCTGAATGAATACAGTAGGGTCGTATTGCTGATTATTCCGGCCCCGCCCTATGTTAACAGTTCGACGCATGCTATTGCCAGGAGCAGTTGAACCCTTGCAGTAAAGCATGCAAGAATTACCGAGAATCCAGGAGCTGTTCCCGACGTCAGAGCTGAGTTTGAAGGGTGTCCATTGGACTATTTAGTGACATTTAGTGACTATTTATACCGTCCACGCAAATTTTCATGGAACCCCCCAAGTAGCCCTTGTGAAAGGACACGCTCGATCAGACGCAACAATAGTTTGTAGTGGATAGACTGTAGATTGCAGGACCAGTTCATCTACAAGAACCTCCCTGAGGACGTGCAGCTTAGCGATGAGTTGCCTGGTCTTGCAGCCTTACACTTGCAACTGACAGCGCGGCCTCGCAGCTAAGCAGATGGAGCCGAGCTATATTCAAGACCTTCTTGAAAACTGTGGACCGCAAAGTTGGAAGGACAAGAATCCCGAGATGCTTAAACCCGGCGAGAGCTCGGCGATCAACCCGGAGGACATGAAGGCGCCTGGCCGGTCGGTTGTAGGACTTGTAGGCGGCATCTAGAGCACAGGTTTCTCTGTTGTGCCGCTGCACAGACAAGCAGTATTTACAGCGGAAGTGCAGCAGTACTTGTAGAAGAGGACGAAGTAGTAGAAATCAGGCTGTCGTCGTAGCAGTAGTAGTAGTAG